TCGTACGACTATATTTAGGTGATACAAAGAATTCTAAAGGGACAATTTCACTCTGGAGGGCGCTAAGAAGGAAGGAAGGTGGCGAACGTCAGTAACAAAGGCAAACATTACTGCTATGAGAAAAATCGTTGACGACGACCGGAGGGTGCCACACCAACAGATAGAGGACCTTACACCTTCATGCACCAGCAATTCATTCAATTCTGCATGACCAGTTACACCTAGGGAAACTGTCCTCTCTGGGTACCGCATAGTCTGACGGAAGGTCTTAGATAATAGCGGTCAGATGGATGTGGTCTATATGGATTTCTCAAAGCCATTCGATAATATTAGTCACCAAAGAATCATAGGTAAACTTTAGTATTTTGGTTTTGGCAATAATTTATTAGATTTCATTTCTTCCTACTTGCATGATAGAAATCAGTACGTTTCTTACAATGGTTTCAAATCTGCGCCTTACTCGGCCTCATCCGGTGTAGCGCAGGGATCAAATTTAGGCCCTCTTCTCTTTCTTTATTTTATCAATGACCTCCCTAACTACTTAACCTCTCCTTCTCTGTTGTTTGCCGATGATTTAAAAATATATGCTCAGATTAACAGCATTGATGACTGTCTAATCTTGTAGGCTGACCTGAATCATATATTTGAACGGTCTTCAACTAATAAGTTATTTTTGAATGTTAGCAAATGCAAAACCTGCTCTTTTACCAGGAAAACGAATCCAATAGTTTTTGTTTACACACTGGAAGATGTCAGTTTGATGCGTTGTTCAGAAGTAAGATATCTAGGTGTGTTATTTGATGTTAAATTAGAATTTACAATAGTATCATCCGCTACAAAAAGTCTCGTTTTTTTTATAAGAAACTGTAAATCGTTTGGTAGTGAAACGGCACTGAAGGCACCTTGGTGCGTTCTATGTTGGAATATGCATCTATACTACAACTACTTAAAACTGTAATGACTCAAACGCGTGATCAACACGTGAACAGAGCTCGATCCCGGCTTCCTTCCAGTACAGCCGTATAGCGTACGACATATTATGTCGTTTCTGTGGCTTTGCGGTGGTCAACAGCACAGACAGAGATGGAAATAATGGCTGATTGTTCTCCGGCGGTAAGACCAATGAAATCAAAGACGCGCCTCGACCGGCAGACTCATAGGCGTCGGCAACGCATTGGAACGTGTTTCGTTGAGCGATCGCATATTGTGTGTTTTTATAAGAATTGTTGTGATTGTTATTGTTGTGGTTTCTGTGGTTACTGTTTTGGTTATACTTAACCATGGAGAGTACAAATGGCACGAGTGGAAGTACTGAAAGCCAGGGAACAAGTAGACGGCTTCGTAAAGCACTGAAGAGGGACACGAAAGAAATCGTGCTCAACGTGTTCAATTATCTGAACAGAACTATGTCGCTGGGAGATGCACTCGCGCGTTGTGAAAGTATGACAGGCGTTCCAGAGTGGACCATTCGCTGGGTGGTGCATGAAAAGAAGAAAACTGGAGCTACTACTTATCCAAAGTTTAATTTGAAGGGACGAAAGGCCGTTAAATTGGATGACGATAGCAAAATGACGTTAAGGCGAACCGTACATTCATTCTTCTTTAGGAATGAGATACCAACCCTCAAGGCTGTACATGCAGCGATCAAGGAAAATGAAATTATACCCCAAATGAGCGTCGAGGTAATGAGGAAATCCCTGCACGAAATTAATTTTCGTTACGAAACGCGTAATCGGAAGTCAGTATTGATAGAGAGACCTGGCCTGGCGTCGAAAATACCTACGCGAAATGATTAAATATAGGCGACAAAGCAGAAAAATCTATTACTTGGACGAGACATGGGTTAATGCAAGTCACACAGTTAAAAAAACCTGGATAGACAAAATGTAGTGAGTAACCGACAAGCAAGCATTGAAGGTTTGTCAACAGTTTTTCGTGGACCGTCAGGGAAAGGTCAAAGATTGATCTTACCTCATATTGGTAGCGATAGTGGCTTTTTAGAAGAGTGTGACTTGATTTTCGTCTTTAAGAAAGGAGGTGATTACCATGACGAAATGAATGCCAGCTGCTTCGAGAGCTGGTTTCAAGGGGTGCTTCAGCGAGTTGAGCCCAACTCTGTGATCGTCATGGATAATGCTTCCTACCATAGTCGTCGAGCCGAACGTGTACCGACTATGGGATCTCGAAAAAGTGACATGCAGCAATGGTTGCGCGAAAAAGGAATCCCGTTTGACTATTCATGTATGAAAGCGGAATTGTATGAAAAAATTAAACAGCACAAACCTGCGAACATTAGTTACGTGACTGATGAGATGGCCCGTCAATGTGGTGTCACTGTGCTGCGGTTACCGCCGTACCACTGTGAACTGAACCCAATAGAGCCCATCTGGGCTCAAGTGAAGGGTTATATTGCGCGCCATAACACAACCTTCAAATTACCAGACGTTAAGGTTTTACTTGAGACTTCCATACAGCTAGTAACGCCCGAAGCTTGGCAGAATGCTATCCGTCATGTTGTGAAGGAAGAAACAAAAATGTGGCAGCTTGACCACCACATCGACACCATCTTAGAGCCAGTTATAGTCAATTTCAACGAGGAAAGCGATAGCGACAGTTTATTACTGTCAGATGTAAGTGGAAGCGACGATGAATAAAGGTAATTCCCAAATTTTTGACTTACAATGTTTCAAACCAATCTTTATTAAGCATGTGACAAATCTAGTTCACCCATGTTAAACATTCATACCCCGCCTATGAACAGCCGACTACTGGTAGTTAAGTGATGTTCACGTGAACATCGATGAGTCATTACAGTTTTAGATAGTTATAGTATAGTGTATGGCATCCACATTACCAAATCTATACTAACAAAATTGAAAGTGTACAGAGGAGATTTCTTAAATATTTGACTTTCAAATTAGATGGTGTTTATCCCAATCGGGAGACTCCCCAATCAGGGATGTTGCTCAGCTCTGAAATGCATCCTCTTGAGCTGAGAAGAGGTGTTGTGATGTTGATTCTTCAGCGTTATTAGCTAAAATTGATTTTCATGTACCGTCCCGCATTTCCCGAAGATTTATGATTAAGTCACCCGTGTACTTTATGTGCTCCAGCTTTAACACCATAGCTGATAATTCTTTTTTTTTGACGGCGTCAACTTCTATGGTTATTAGCCGTATTCAATAATATAGTGTATAATTGAAAGTGTAAGTAAAAATATATAAATCTATAATAAAAAAAATATAATCTCTTACATGTCTAAGTGATAAATGTCGCATTTTAAAAAAACTAAATATGCAAATTCCACATATTAATCGAAAAGGATATACTATTGTCATTTATTTTCAGATTCCATTAGCAACAAAAGATAATCTCTGGGAAATATTACACGACTAAATTTGTCAGGCATAAATTCATTGATATTAATTTTTTTTTGTTTTTTTTTATTTTGTTTCAGCAGAATCGACGGATGTGGTCAATATCTGCATTTCACGATCTTGTTTGCGTTCACGTAAGTATTTCGATTTATACAAATTCTATTGCTACACATTTCTTTTAGTTCCAGATGACAACACCAAGCTAAGGTAGGTAAGATTCATTTAATCTCAGTTGAGAATAAGATACTCAAAAATTAGAATGGTTCATTTCCAGCTGATAATTGTGACATTCATTATGATAAAGTCAAAGATATATTAGCTGTATTCAGCGACTACTATTATTCAATTTATAACATTTAAGTCATCTAGATGAGTAGGTGTAGCTATTAATTTTTTTGTTTCATTTTTTTTTCAGAAACTGGCGAGCTGTGATTTGTAGTTACTGTAACGTCAAATAGTAATCAATTACATTGTCCTTTAAATGGATATATCTGTTGGGCAATAAATAAATATATATTAAGAGCAAAAGACTCGTCGTACGACATGGTGCCGAAAGATGCTGAAAATGTCTGAGAAGGGGCAATTTCGGATTGTGAACTGCATCGTGACAGGTGACGAGACCTGGCACCATCATTCCGATGAGCCGACCAAGGCTCAAAACCAAGTTTGGGTCTTTGATGTTGAGAACACACCAGTAGGTTTCAGAAAATCCTGATCTGTTAAGAAAAAAATTAATACCTTTTTTCAAATCGAGCGGTATTTTGGAGCGTGCAATTTTGGACACACATAAGACAGTCGCAGCTAAGTGGCACACGGAAGAGTACTTGCCTAAAGTCATTGAGACTATGAAAAAGCGGCCGACAAAGTCAAAAATGGACGCTTGGTACCCCCAGCTCACCGCACCGAGTATTTGACCACTAGTGGACTGAAACTTATTGACCACCCTCCTTACAGTCCAGATCTTGCTTCCTGCGACTTTGCACTTTTGCCGCATGTGAAAAGGAAAACGTTTTTCTAGCGATGAGGACTTTCTAAGGGCTTGGGACAGCGAGTGTGCCGCACATCCCGGTGAAACTTGGCTGCGCTGGTCTAAGGACTGGTTTTGGCGGATGGACAAGTGTATTGAATGTGGTGGAAATTACTATGAACGAAGTCAATAAATAAAGCTGATTTGCAAAACTTTTATAGTACCGCTGGCACTAGTAAACCGACTATGAAAATGTACAGGAGGTTATGAGAATCTAGTTTAGATTTAAAAAGGCTGTCTCCCTTGGTATTTGATACTCTTCTCTTATTCACAAGTGACTAGGCAAATAAAGCGTCTTAACAAGGAGGCCCTACAGAATAAAGCATCCGGCGCTAAGTTAAAACCAAGTTTGCTCACACTCGTAGAAGTCTATTACAGTGACGGATATATGGATTGTCAAAGATGTGATTGTTCTTTTCAGTAGGAAATAGCAAAGTCAAAATTGACCTCATAGCTTCTTTATCATGATAACCCAAATATGTTCATAGCACACTTTCAAAGCTACACTTTCAACCTACTTAAAACTAATTTCCGCAATATTTAATTGCCTAAGACACCATACATAACAGATTACTTGCATCTAATTAATAGTGTAAATGACATATCAGAAAACCAACCTCTCTGCGTGCGCACTTTCTATTTTACTTGAAGCCAAATGAATCCACAGAAGATATAAATCGCAAAGCGGACATTTGCATACGAGATATACCTTCTCGATAAAATCTCCGGTGGTATACAGTGTAATTCTAAAAACAGAAAGAATATTGCTGAGACAGAAAATAATTTAAAAATACCAAGTCCCTGTAGTCGTAGGTTGCAGAAAGTATTCTTAGATAGATACGAACCGGAAAGAAGTATACCTCCAGACTGGATCAATGTATCGACTCAAAATATCGCAAATATAAAGGGTGTCTCAACAAGAGCGCTGTATTTGAGTTTGTCGCCATTTTTTGTACAAATGGTGTAATGTTTACCTACACTGTTCGACGCGGTCCTGGTCGGTCCCTCGAAAATATAGTCGCAGTGCGGGAAAGTGTGGCCGAGATTCCAGGCAAGAATTGAACCTTACCAGACCCAGCAGGCAGCAGCGGTGGCCGCAGTAGTAGACTCTTCGGTCTCCTGATCAGTCGCCGTGCGCTGTGCGGGTTCGAATCCCGTTCCAAGAGAAATTTTTCTCTTGGCTATGGATGTTGTGGTTGTCCGTAGGTAGTAGACGGTCTCTGACTGTCTAACGCAGAGGTACCACCCAGCGGATCTCGTAGGCGGGGCCAGAATGTCCGCATATTGCATGCACACGTGTTCCCTCGCCAGAGTCCGTGTGGCGTTCCCCCTTTCCCCTGTACCCTCTTATAGCCCCACGGTACCCCATGGGTGTTTAGGCCTTAGGCCTACGTAGTAGTTGGAGTATAAAAAAAAACACTTTGCAACGAATTTTGACAAAAGATCTGCGCTTGCATGCGTACAAGGTTCACGCAAGAACTCAAGCCAACGGACCATGCGTAGCGCCGTCAATTCGTTGATTGGGCACTGGAGCACCACCAAATTGATGCGGCTTTCTCGAAGAAAATCATTTTCTCTGATGAGGCGCATTTTCAACTGAATGGGTACGTTAGTACGCAGAACTGTCGAATTTGGGGTTCTGAAAACCCTCGCCTAGTAATCGAACAACCAATGCATCCGCCGCGAGTTACCGTTTGGTGCTCATCGTGGAGTGGCGTTGTGATTGGACCGTACTTCGTCAAAAATGCAGCTGGAACTGCGGTAACTGTTAATGAAGTGCGGTATCTCGATATGTTAACCGAGTTCTTGTGGCCCCAGTTGGATCGAATTGATGTGGAGGATATGTTCTTTCTACAAGACGGTGCGGTGCGACTTGCCACACAGCACGCGAAATAATGGTGTTACTGCGGACCAAGTTTTCAGACCGTGTCATCTCTCGGTTTGGCGATCAAAATTGGCCAACAAGATCGTGCGCTCTAACGCCAATGGACTTCCTCCTCTGGGGCTATGTGAAAGAAAAGGTGTATGCGAACAAGCCACAAACAGTTGAACGCCTTAAAGAAGAGATACGGCGCGTTATCGACGAAATAGAGCCACAGTTGTGAGAAAACGTTATCCAGAATCTTAAGAAAAGATTAACCCTGTGCCAGAGGTTTCGTGGTGAATTTCTGTATTACCAGTGTTACTATCATTTTTCCATCACCCTGTATATCCCTTCCTGATAAAATCTCTGGTGAAATATTTGAGGTCCAGATTCTCTTGAAATTATGATGCGATTTGAGCATTCGTGCTGAGTATTATGCAAAATCTAATTGGCTCGGTGAATGGAGGTTTTGTTTCGAATGCCACGGCGTTTGTTGTGAAGGTACGTCCGTTATACCACGGTACCACCTGAAATATTTATATTCTCGTATATCTTTTTGCATCCGTAAGATTTAACTAGGCATGAATTACGTAAAGTGGATCTATTACATACTTACATAAATGTTTAGTACGTTCTCATAACGGAGCAATTGTAAAATGACCCACTTTATATAGTTTATATAGGAAAGCAGCAAGGGTTTGTTGGACCGACTAGAAGGCGTTTTATTGAAATAATACATCTAATGAATATAGTCAATTTCTTCTAAAATAACAATCAAACTAGCAAAAAATTATACGATTTATGTAAGAAGGTGCTTCATATTGAATGAAGAAATCACCTGATTCAACTACAAATACCTGTATGTACATATGTATCTATTTTATTTCATTACAGGACCAAACGTTGCTCCAGAGCAAATTCCATCAACTAGATACAAGCGTCATATCCATGTTGTGAATAATAGAACTAAATTCAAAACATATTAAGAAAACAGATAAATTTGAAAAATGAGGCAATTTTTTATTTTTATCGTTATTTCGTTTCCTCGCCACCACTGGACCGATTTCCAAAACTACTAAGCTTTTTGTCTTTGGTAGGTATAGTAATAACCTTGTGTAAAAAATCATCCAAATTCGAGCAGTACTTTCCACGTTATAGACGGTCCAAGGATTAGCAGGCAGAACGACAGACAGATCGACAGAAATGAGTGACATGTTTTTTTGTGATGCATTGACATGTCATATAATATCCAAGAAATATCTCTCATTATCGAATTTTTTGCGTGGGAAGGAAAAATGATATATGGATCGTTAATAAGGTGACGATCTCAACAATTCTAAAACTAACTTCCATGGAAACTATGTTTTTCTTTTACTAGGTTTGTAGCAGGTCAGACTAATTAGACGGTTGTTCTTTGTTATTGCAAAAATTCTGCTCAACAAATTCAATGAAGACCTACATATAATCACAGAATGTGTATTATTTAACATCAGAATGCACCGTTTATATGCTAGACACGAGTTTAGAGCTAATCAGGTTGAAAGTGGCTGAAAGGAACCGCTTTTGCATAAGACGTCACTAGACACACCGCCAATGGGGAGAACAGATTATTACAGTGTTGCTAGATATAATGCTAATGCTAAAGCTAATGATAAATATAAATTAACGAGCAAGTGTCTTTTATTTCAAGCCATAGTAGTTGATCTTAATATTTTAAAGATTCATTTAACAGAATCAAGATGGAGTGCCTGAAATCAATTCTTTGAATCCTTCCCCATTTTGGCCACACGTCTTTGCGTTGAGCAATTATGTGGCATCATTGAACAGCTGATGAAGGGCTATTCTAATTTCAGATATAATAAATGATTTTTTCTGTGCTTTTTATCCAAAGAAACATACATAAGTTTCATACATGCCTTTAATATGGATAAGATTATTGCAAATGTTCATCCTCGCATAAATATTGTTCAGACACTGACCGACACGGGTATCACGTATCTTGAAAATTGACATTATGCCAATTTTTTTTTGATATTATGCTGTTTTTTTGATATTATGTAGGTTTTTCTACAAGATGTTAACTTAACACTTAGTTGTACGTGTTGCCTAAACGTCACGAGGCTTTAGTTATTAATGTTTGGCTCTGATGTTATGTAAAATCTGTTGCAGAGATGGCATTACTGGAGGCCTAAGCTGAAAGTTGTATGTGTTGATGATAATTTCATTATATTCTTGTCTCAAATACAATTAATCGAGATTCAAAGCTAGAAATTAGTTCAGCAGACACTTTTTCTTATACATTCTGGAAATTACATATTCGAATTTGCTGAATTTCAAAAATGAGAGAGATCAGATATAATTATATTCACTATACACTGACAAAGTACAAGCCATATATATAAAGGTGCATGCTAACAGTAATTACACACAACGCGTTCGCGGTGATGATTTCCCGTAATTCTCCTCAGTTTTTCGAAATTTATAACTTTGAATATAACCTCTACTCAGAAGGCACAACGTATTAATAACCCGTCATATTCAGCATATTCAGTGATGATTTTCTCACACAGCAAATATCACTGATTTTATACACATGCAGATCAATACACACAATCATCCAGATGCGATCTTGCTATTCAACCAACTTTCTTCTCACAGACAAAAACTACAGACCAGACACAGATCATTCAGCCTCACAAAACTATGCAACCAATAATGCGTGTAGTTTAGTTGAGTGATTCCTCCATAGATGGACGTTCACAACGATCTTAGTGAGCAAACGTGGAATGACTGTTTGCGCCCTAAAAACTACCTAGTTTACAAGTTGACATCTTATAGTTTTTATAGGTTTTTTACGTGATACCCATGCGGGAAGTAAAAATTGTTTAGTAATGCTGTCATATCAGCTAAGAGGAAATTTTGGTCCTGGCAGCTAAAGATGATTTATGAAGAGTTCCTTGATGTAAAATGGGGATTATAGGTCCTTCTTACAAAAATCGTATAGTTTTTGCTAGTTTTAGAGATCATTTATGAGAAGTCAACTGAATTTATTAGATCCACTACTTCAAACACAACTTCTGATGGGTGGGATATGCTCCGTGGGGCAAATTTTGATCCTCGCATGGTAAAACTAGCCCTTAACCACCTACTATACAGACCGTAAAATCAAAAATGTGGCATACGCTTGGGGTCCGAGTATACTTTTCTCATTTACTTTTTCACGATTTACACGAATTTCAAGCCAAAATTGGGGGTCAGTGGACAAAATTTAGAGAAAACGCATGAAAACGACCCACAGATGCACAAAAAAATAAAAAGTGGCGTGTTTTGGGGTCTCACCATGTTTTTCCCCCTGAACTCGAATTTGAAGTCAGAATTGGCGGCGAGGACAAATATGTAAGTAATTTGGACATCATTAAAAAACTAAAAAATGTATTTTGGTGGATGTGTCTCTCTGATAACTCTGAAGAGATGCACATCTACCAAAAATGCCAAATTGTCCATACTGAATGTTTGTGCTGACTCCCCTGTATGAACCGCAAGAATGGTTATTGCTAGAGAGTCCTCTGGTGGCGCGTTTCTTCTGAGTATTTCGCCACCAGCGTGAGTTTCGTATAGCCGCGAGAGATCCGCATAAACCACAACCTGCAGCGTTGATAAATCGTAGCTTCAATAAAACCGCTATAACCTGCTTTGATATTCCCGCAACTCCCACGAGGTTCCTTTCCCAAGGTGCCTGCCCCCTTTTCATACACGCTTCAAGTGTCGCATTATTTGGATTCAGACCCCATAAGTGAGAGGAGAGCTTGCACCGGCAAGAAACCCCCAGGAGGATTGAAGACCTCCACTATTAGAGATAACGCATTAGCCATTTCTTAATCGGATCATCAGGTAGTTCAGCCAAACCAGCCTCTTTTCGCCCTACATAGTGTGACCCCAAGGAACATGCAATTTTTATTTGGTGGGCCTGTGTTACCAATTGCTCAGTTTACATAAATGAGCCACCTGTACCTACTGTGCCCGATAGAGTGCTTCTGATACTCTCCTGAAAACATCTCGCTATAAAACTCTTCGGGATCCAACGCAATAAACTAAATATTACACATCCCAGCCTCGGTATAGCGGCAAACTCTAATATGTATAATTACTGCTCAGTGCATCTACTTTTTAATTTACCGGAATCGTTGGAATTCAGTTTTATTACAGTTGTTAGGTAGGTCTTTGATTTGTACGGCTCTCTAATTGGAGCTAAGACAACGTTGAGGCTGGGATTCTTCGTAAGTGTCTCATCAGAGCTGGAACTTGATTTCGTTCGGACCTCTGCTGATCAACTTTACGATGT